ATTTTATCGGGCTTGGTCCATATTTGCCCCTAGCCCCCATATAAAGCCTCTTTCAGAAAATTAGTTTTTCATCCATAAATTGCTTAAATGTATCGGAACAGGGTAATATTGAAGATAAATGGTTTATTATGAAAAATAAATCACATTTAATATTCATAACTGGTGTAGGGTATCATATGCCAAAATCTGTCTACTAAATTTTATGAGGATCGGTAATTGACACTACCCCTTATATAAGGTCGCCTTCAGAAAATAACTTTAATTGTCATTACCGTTTTAAAAATACAAGTATAGCGATGAACTTCTACATAAGTAAGTTTCTTACGAGCCAAATACTCTCTACAAAATTTTATAAAGGTCGGTGCATAATTGACCCTACCTCTTCAGAAGATTACTTTAACGCTCATTGCTGGCATAAAAATACAAATACAGTTATAAAATTCGTCATAAGCAACATTAATAAGAACGTTAACGTTCCTAACGAATATAATCGATCCATTGATGAAAAGAACCAAAATCTATCTACCGAAATTTACGAAAATCGATCTACATATATTTGACTCTACTGCCCATACATATGTTCTTGATTTAAAAATTGGACAAAAATATTTTATTTTTAAAAATTAAAAACACGTCCCCAATAAAAATATAAACCAAACTAAAACCTTTAAGTAACAGCAAAAGAAATCCCATATAAACTTATTAACAATAACAAATATCATACTTACTTTGGTGCTAAAAAATCGTTTTCATACATATGAAATTAATGTTCATGTTCGCGAATGGAGGAAAAAATTAATACAAAGTGAAGGAATGATTAAACAACCTAATACATGAATGTTGAATAAAAAACAATTATATTTTCTCTTCGTCGTCGTCTTGCTTTACAGAAAAAGAGCGTGTGAAGCCTTTTGTTTGGAAATGAAGAATGTGAACTGTTATCAAATAATTGCTGGCACTTGAATTATGCAATTAACAGACAAACAAAATTATATTACACATATACACACGTTTCTACACACACGGACTGGCACTGTGTGGGCATATTTATTATCCAACGTCTTTTGAAAAGTTTGTGAGTTTATTTACTTTTATTTCCTTTTTAGACTTCATCCAAAAATTAAAAAAATAAGAAGGAAATACATAGTACTCCGCAGCTATGCATTCTCATATTTGGTGTCCTTTTATTCATACTGACCCCTTGATAATTTCATGAGTTCGTTTCTTTGTTTTTTGCTTGGTTTGTAGGTGGTTGTGTGAGTATATGAATTTTTTTAAAACAACTCGTCTCACTATGTGGCATTTAGCCTGAAAATCTGGTCAAAAAGGGAAAAATTAATTAAAAGTAATTTAAAAATCGAAGTATGCAATTCGATAGACAACAAAATTCAACATTTTATAGTGAATTTTCAAGACTTTAAGTTTAAGACTCAAAGTCAGGAAAGTGAAGAAATGTAAATTCAGAAATCTGATCTCAAGATCACATTTGATTGTAAATAAGTACAATTTCGAAAGGAATTTATATGGGGGCTAGGCCAAATCAAGGACCGTTTTTAACCAAAATCAGTGGGGTTTAACCTTGCATTTAATTGAAACAAACACTATTTGAAACTTAAAAAATACCTCTAATAATTTTGACTAAGTTTTCAGGCAAAATGCAACTATGTGCATTCGTACAAATATATTTTTTACTCCATTTTCAGCAATTTAAGTGGCGGTAAATATGGTCCACATTCGTTTTATCTTTATGGTCGCGTTTAGTGAGTTCGAAAGAATTATTGCACAATTTTCACTGTTAAATAAATATTAATTCTTTTTTTTTCATTTACACGAAATTCTCCAAGTTTTATATTGTATTAGGGAGTTGTGGAAGTAAACAATTTTTTAGGGAAGAAAAACTTGTAGAACTCTTAAAGTTACCATATTTTTGGGAATTTTTAAAATCCAAACCAGATGTTGAATGTCATTTCGACCATACCATGGCTAGAGTCTAGTCTTGCAAATCTTGTTCTAGTCTAACATTATTAGAAAACATAACAGGCGAATTTCAGCTTCCACTGTACTTTAGTAGTGCTTATATCGAATAGTACAATTTGTTAAAAACCATATTCTTTAGTTAAGCCTGTTTTGAAAATTTTTAAAATATACCCTGCAAAAATTGAGACTGTAAGACACCATTTCTCAAAATGTTTGTCCTGACGTCAATATATGGTGAGCTGGATCAAAGGATAAAGATTTTTCTGATTTTATCATATTTTTGTAATATAGACCAAATTTGGTATCACATGAAAGATCTTTGAGAGACGATTTTAATGACATAACACAATTTTGTATGCCTCCAAAATTATTACATATATTTGTATTTTACATACAATTATTTAATGTAATTAATTGAAATTGTTACGTTTTAAATCTCATATAAAATTACCGAAACGGGTTTTTCTGTTTTTCGAAATTCGCTGTTTTGTATTTTATTTAAATACTAGCTATACCCAGTGTGCTTTGCTACCCAAAAACCAATATCTATATATATAAAAATGAATGTGTGTTTGTTTGTATGTTTATATGTTGGTATGTTTATATGTTTGCATGTTTATATGTTTGAACGTTATAGACTTCTAAACGACGTATTCCTGTATGTCTGGAACAGGCAATGGGCTACTTTTTATTTTGAAGTGGGCGGGGAGCCACGCCCATATTAAGAAAATATTAAATCCGTATATTTGAGATAATATAACAGTTACAGTCCTCAAATTTTTTCGGAGCCTCTTTAGTGTCAATATGATAATTTAGGACAAAAAGAAGGCGGACTAGCATTAGGGGGCGTGGCACCTCCCATATAAATTAAATACAAAAATTCGTTTATCTTGGAAACTATTACAATTAGAATCTTAAAATTTAGCACGAATAACTTTTACATCCATTTAAACATTTTGGGTAATAAATGAGGGGAGCGGCACCTCCCATATTAATTAAATACAAAAATTCGTTTAAATATTCATCTGAGCATTTTGGAGGAAAAAGCGGACTTTCATCTGGGGGGGCTTGAAGCCCCCATATGGGTGGCTTGGAACCACATATATGAATTAATTACAAAATTTCGTGTATCTTGGAAACTCTTATATTCTTCAAATTTTTCATAGATAGATATATAGAAATTGGCGATAGATAGAAACAGGCGAACTTGCTATAATTTGCTTGACATCTCTCATATGCAACATATTGTAAATCTGGAAAACTATTGTAGTTGGAATCTTCAAAATCGTTAAGTGGGATTTTTTTTATTTATAAATATTGCTTTTAGGGTAGCAAAGCACACTGGGTATAGCTAGTGTATAAATAAAAAAACCACTTAACGATTTTGAAGATTCTAACTACAATAGTTTTCCAGATGAATATTTAAGATCTTCGTGCAAAATTTGAAGAATTTAGTTCCATTAGTTTCCCAGATAAACGAATTTTTGTATTTAATTAATATGGGAGGTGCCGCTCCCCTCATTTATTACCCAAAATGTTTAAATAGATGTTAAAGTTATTCGTGCTAAATTTTAAGATTCTAACTGTAATAGTTTCCAAGATAAACGAATTTTTGTATTTAATTTATATGGGAGGTGCCACGCCCCCTAATGCTAGTCCGGCTTCTTTTTGTCCTAAATAATCATATTGACACTAAAGTGGCTCCGACAAAATTTGAGGACTGTAACTGTTATATTATCTCAAATATACGGATTTAATGTTTTCTTAATATGGGCGTAGCCCATTGCCTGTTCCAGACATGCAGGAATACGCTGTGAAAATTTTAAGAAATTCGGTTCAGCCGTTTAGTAGTCTATAACGTTCAAACATACAAACATACAAACAAACACAAATTAATTTTTATATATATAGATAGATTTTAAACCTTTTTTTCTCCCCTGAATTATGCTAGCTATACCTATCAAGCGTACATACTATGCATTTTTTTCAGTTTAACTAAAATATTTACACAATTTATCCTAAACATGTACTTGTTTGTTACGCTTGCTTTGTTAATAACGGTTTGTATGTTGCTTACATTATTTTGCAATGTTTTGGAAGATTGAATTTTGACATACGGAAAATCCGTTTCGGTAATTGAGGATTGTTATGTACTAATTTCTACGAATTATATTAAATTCTTCTGTGTTAAAATGTAAAAAATCTGAACATTTTTAAGAAAATTTGAAAATTTTGATTACTTTTGCTGTTACAAAAATGCCATTAAAAGCGTCTCTCAAAGACCTTTCATATGATACCAAAATTGCATGTCATTCCTTTGAAAGTAAATAAAAAAAATCATAAAAACCTGAAAAAGGGCCTTTTTATCCTTAATTTTAGTCGGGAACATTAACACCTAATTTTCCCTCCACACACGGGGCCAACCTAATATACATACAAACAGTGGTTTCCCAGTTTAACGAAAGATATAATGTAAGGCACATTCATAAAAACAAAAAATTCGTTAAACCGAATAACGACTTTTCTATTAAAAAAATTTTTTTGGAAAGAGTAATGACATAGCTAACTGAACTCCTCTGGACAATTTTTGCTAGAACCAATAGGTGAAAAGTTACACTCATTAGAATAAAACCCTGTATGATCAAAATATCCAACCTTGAACCCCTCTAAGTCCGGCAGTTCTTGACCCATAGATCTGAAAATTCGGAATACATCGATTTTAAAAGTTGGGTCACTTGACACGAAATTGCCCATATGTATTAAATCATAGAAATCCTATATATACCAAATGCGATGAAGTTTTGTATAAATATCACTTTTTTTAAATGAGCAAAATTTTGATGAGCAATATTTTCCGTAAGAAATTTGCAAGTTTTTTTTACACTATCCAATAGAGAGGAGTGTTCTTTACAACAATGTTACAAAATTTTCAATAAATCGCGATAATATTGCAAATTTAAAATAATAGTATAACTGAAAGTATCGAATAAAAGCATTTTAGAAATTGCTTTCGGTGTTGGAAGTTTATTAACCAAATTGACTTAAAAAATTGGTTTCTTTCTTTATAAAAATATACATATTCTACACAATTTTAAATATTTAATATTGTACAGTCCGAATCAGATACAAGTTATTTAAATAAATTTTAAAAAAATATTTGCAGTTAGTTATTATATGGCAGTATATCTTTTTATATACAAAAAGCAAAACAGAATTTTTTAGCACTAAATATCGCAATCTCTTCCAGATACTGGTGTCATCCCAAAATACAGGTTAATTTATCAAATTTTTAACACAACTGGAAAACAAGAACATGATTAATTTCTGACAAATTAGAAACAGAAACAACAACAAAAATATGCGACACACCCCGACATTTAACAGAAAAAGCAACAATTGAAATGCGAAATCTTTTACAAAAATGTTGTTTTCACTGGTTGGCAAACAGGATGTCTTGGTTGGGATTGGATAATGGCTTAAAGCCGTAATTCATTGGAAAGGTGTCTCTTATGTTTAGCTTGGTGTTGCTTTAGTGCGTTTGCGTCACTTCGGTGCACTGATAAACGAGTTCAGTTTTGAAAAATGACACGATACGACACCAAAAATGGAAAAAGAAGTGAAATACATACCAAGTTGACGATGATACACTTGCTTAAACCTGATTTAAGCGAGACCAAGTTTGGCTCGTGATCTTTATTTTTGGTTCTGTTGTTTTTTTTTTTTTTTTTCTTCCACTCCAACTGGGTAAAAAGGCACACGAACAATGATCGATGGTTGGTTAGTTCCTGTGGGGTTTTTACGCAGTTAATAAACTGCTACGAGCGTTTGCAACATTTTTCATTCTTATCAAAACAACTCTCAAAAGGGTATCAGTTTAATTCAAATGTGTGACACTCATAATTTTTTAGAAGATATTTTTTGGCAAGATTTATTGTTTCATGGTCAGCAAATGTTTCTCTAAAATATGTACGATGTGTATAATATTTGTGTTTTGTCCATTATTTAAATTTAGTTTTTGAATTTGTTATTTGTTACACTCAAAAAAGCTTGATGTTGTTATGATGAGTTTTCAATCAAAATTTATTCTCATTTAGCTATTGAACATTATGTTCTAAATTTTTATCGAATTTTTTACCAAAAAAACGTCAAGTTTTGACTTACACCTTTAAGGTGAAAGTACACAACACGAGTTAAGGCGGCAACGAGTTTTACGCTTTTCAAACTTTTCGCGCTTTACAATCTGCAAGTTACATACCACGTCATTTTGATCTTTCTTTTAATGTTTTTTAAGTCTATTACTGTTTTCATAATAAAAATTTTAAGTTTTTGTTTATTTTTTTAATATTTTTCTTTCATTGTTGGTGAAATTTATTTAATTTTAGTTTGTTCTACACAAAACAAAATACAACGCTGATCAGCCGCCCACACATTAAAATTTGAAATTTGCTGAACTTTTCGCGTCTGCCGCGAGTGATTGACGCTGAAGCTCGCCGATTGTTTACCAGAGCTTCTTATGGCAAATGAGTAGTTTGAACTCTTTAAAATAAATTTTTGCACCGAATTTTTTCATGCGATGAAAATGGATCCATTACGAAGCTCGAAGAGTAAGATATCGTATCTGAAGTCCGGTCAACCAACCGATTCAACAACAAAGCCAAATATGCAAGGTAATGGGCGAAAAACGGAAAGAATATGCATCCAGCGTAATATTCCATCATGACAACGCTCGGCCACATGTGATTGAAAATTCGCCTTATAGTTGAGACCTTGTCATGTCCGACTACTATTTCGATCGATGAAAAATGCTCTATCTGGGATACCCTTCACTTCAGAAGCTGTGCTGTTGGCAAAAAATTAGGAAAGGTCATAGCTAAGAACTGCCAATATTTTGAATAAATTTATATAAATGTTGCCAAATAAAACCTGTATATTTAAAAAAAAAAAATAAAAAAAAATTAAGAAAAACAACATCTATACACCTATACTTTCAAGATTCATCGAGTGTATATTTTTATTGAGCAAAAAAAATCAATACTCAACTGATCGATTGATGTTGTTAGTATTAAGACATTAATTGAAATTCTTATCAGTGTTTAACAATAACTTTGGATCATCATGTTCAATCCACTTTCGATTTGACAGTTCGACGACAGACAAGTGACATTTTTGTAAATTATGACTTCATGATTACTCTTTTAAATACAAACTATTTTACCATCATCTTCAAAGAATATTCCAAACAAGAAAATAACAAAAAAACGAAAAAAATTAAGTACAAAGATTCGACTGTGTAAACAGTCGTTTAGTTTATTGGATTTTAGTTTTTTTTCGTTTTTGGTTTATTTGCTTAAGTCGTGAGTGAATGAATGAGTGAATGATTGTGTCGCATTGTGTTGTGATGTCAAATGAATTATAGACTGGAGTCCTTTAGTGTGTGTCTGGCTGTAAGTTTTTATTTATGTACTTCGATGTCAGTCTGTATGTTTGTGAATATGGTGGCATGATTCCCGGGTCGTATTGGTGCAATACCAGAAACACGACTGATTTTCTCTACCCAAATGTCCAAAAATAACATGAGTTAACAACATACGATTAGCCATGACGATGACGACGTTTTTGATGGTTGTTAGTGATGACGATTTTGCGCATGCTTAACACGAATTACGAATATGTTAAATCACTCGACTAATGCCGCCACATTACACGATACTCTGGCAAATATGGCCAACCAGTCAACTAAATAAATAAATAAACTTGTAAGCTATGCACCTTTTGGCTGTATTGTCCACAGCAATAATTGTGAATATTTTGTTTTACAACTCGTATGGAGGATTATGTCTGTCTGGTAATATGCGATTTTTGCATACTTAATACCAGTTGCACTCTTAACTTCGATTCCATTCAACTCCACTCTAGTCTACTGTTTTCAATTCAATTCAACACAATTCAATTCTATTATTGTTGCCTGATGATGTGGTGGGCAGTTTTGTATTCTTTTAATTTTAAATCACAAGTACTTTTTGTTCAAACACTCAGTCTGCTGCAATACAATTGTTTTGGACTTTTCAACAACATAATTGATGTTATTGCTTTTTAATTCGTTTAGTTAACGTGGTGTGAATAAGAAATATATTTTTTTGAAATGATTTTTTAAACAAATTGTTTAAAAAATAAATATCATGATAATTGATAATAAAAAAAATTTGAATAGATTAAATTATATATCAAAAATGTTCACCAAAGTTGGTCAAGAATATGAAGCATGAATTTGAAAATTATATCCAATATTATAATATATATATTTTTATTTATTATATTATACAATATCCAAATTATAACCAATATATTGGTTTTATGTTTGCACAGAAAAAATTATCAGTAGTTTATTTTCAATTAACATGTTTTTCTCTTTCTTTAGTTTTAATTTAAGCAATTTTTTATTTGTCTTAATTATCTTGTTGTTTAAAACCTAAGTTTACAAATTTGATTAAATTTTTAATTGATTCAATTAGTTTTTTAATTGATTGAAAAAAATTTTCTGGCCAACTTTTCTATTTTAACTTTTTTTAAATATTTTATTTTGATTTCTTATGCTAACAATGTTTATAATTCTTAAATAGTCAATACGATTTTAGGCATATAATATTAAAGTTTCCTGACAATTTATAAAACACTTTATATGTTCAAATTTGATAATAAAGAGATATTTTTTGTAAATGCTCAACGCATTGTTAAAGGTCAAGCATTCCTTTAACATTGTGAGTAATCAATTAATAATTTGATTGTTTTAATCATCAACTTAATTGGTTTTTAATACATTTTCTACCAAACAAACTAATTCATTTGATTAATAAATTAATAAAAATTAGGTTTTATTTTTATTAAATACTAGCTTTACCCAGTGTGCTTTGCTACCCTAAAAGCAGTATAAATAAAAAAACCCACTTTACGATTTTGAAGATTCTAACTGCAATAGTTCTCTAGATTTACAATATGTTACATATTAGAGATGCCAAGCAAATTACTGAAAGTTCGCCAATTTCTATATATCTATGAAAAATTTGAATAATATAATAGTTTCCAAGATATACGAAATTTTGTATTTAATTAATTTATGTAGTGCCAAGCCCCCAATTGAAAGCTCGCCCGTTATTCTCTAAATGTTCACATGAATGTCAGAGTTTTTTATGTAAAATTTTAAGATTCTAGCTCTAGTAGTTTCCAGATATACAATTATTCTATTTCATTCATGTGGGGGCTTCAAGCTCCCCAGATCAAAGTCCGATCTTTTTCCTCCAAAATATTCAGATGATTATTGAAGTAATTTCTGCAAAATTTGAAAAATCTAGTTCTATTAGTTTCCCAGATAAACGAAATTTTATATTTAAGTCATATGGGAGTTGTCAAGTTCCCCATTGAAAGTCCGCCCGTTATACTCTAATTGTTCAGATGAATGTCAAAGTTTTTCAAGTAAAATTTGAAGATTCTAGCTCTAATAGTTTCTAAGATATACGATTTTTTCTAATTAATTCATATGGGGGCTACACGCCCCCCATATGAAAGTCCGCTCGTTTTCCCCCAAAATGTTCAGTTGAATATTAAAGTAATTTATGCAAAATTTGAAGAATCTAGTTCTATTAGTTTCCCAGATAAATGAATTTTTGTATTTAATTAATATGGGAAGTGCCAAGTCCCCCATTTAAAGTTTGCCAATTATTCCCTAAATGTTCCCATTAATGTCAAAGTACTTCATGTAATATTTAAAGATTCTACATCTAATAGTTTCTCAGATATAAGAATTTTTCTATTAAATTCATGTGGGGGTTTCAAGCCCCCAAGATAAAAGCCCGCCCTTTTTTCTCCAAAATGTTTAGATGAATATTAAAGTAATTTGTGCAAAATTTGAAGAATCTAGTTCTATTAGTTTCCCAGATAAACGAAATTTTGTATTTGATTAATATGGGAGGTACCAAGTCCCCCATTGAAAGTCCGCCCGTTATACTCTAATTGTTCAGATGAATGTCAAAGTTCTTCAAGTAAAATTTGAAGATTCTAGCTCTAATAGTTTCTCAGATATACGAATTTTTCTATTTAATTCATATGGGGGCTCCAAGCCCCCCCAGATGGAAGTCCGATCTTTTTCATCCAAAATGTTTAGACGAATATTTAAGTTCTTCGTGCAAAAGTTGAGGAATTTAGTTCTATTAGTTTCTCAGATAAACGAATTTTTGCATTTAATTAATATGGGAGGTGCCGCTCCCCTCATGGGTAGTCCGCCAATTTATTTCCCAAAATGATAACATGGATGTTAAAGTTATTTTTGCAAAATTTTAAGATTCTAACTGTAATTGTTTCTAAGATAAACGAATTTTTGTTTTTAATTTATATGGGAGGTGCCACGCCCCCTAATGCTAGTCCGCCTACTTTTTGTCCTAAATAATCATATTGACACTAAAGTGGCTCCGATAAAATTTGAGGACTCTAATTGGTATATTATCTCAAATATACGGATTTAATATTTTCTAATATGGGCGTGGCACCTCGCTCACTTGAAATTTCAAAATAAAAAGTAGCCTATTACCTATTCCAGACATACAGGAATACGCTGTGAAAATTTCAAGAAAATCGGTTCAGCAGTTTTGTAGTCTATAACGTTCAAACATACAAACATACAAACAAACACACATTCATTTTTATATATATAGATTTAATTTATACAATTAATGAATTCATCAATTTTAAATTTTGTCTCAATTATTGATATTAATTGTTCTGATTAATTCGTTATTTGGAAAAAAATGTATTTTTTTAATTTTTTTTACAAATTTGATAATTGATATCATCATTTTGGTGATAGGTGCAAAACTTGCTTGATACAATTATTTTGATAATTGAAACATAAATTTAGTTTTTTCTGTGCAGTTTTCATTTCAAGTTCACTTCTCTCATTTATAAACCTTGGACACTCAAAGAATATAAGTTTTGCTCCTCGTTTACATTACAATTTGGACAATATGGGTCACTCTCACGGCCAAAACGATGTAGGTATGC